CGGTCAGTACCAGAAATTTTCGATGAAATTCGACAATCGTACATCACTGACCCCAAGACCCTTGAGCTTTTACAGTTGGTTGTCGAATGGCTAGAACAATTTCCCAACCATATGGTTCGGAATGGATTATTATTTTTTCATGGAAGAACTTACATTCCTTCTTTAGATTTGCAGCTCTGGTTGCTGCAAGAACATCATTCCTCACTCGTGGCCGGACACTTTGGTATTGCAAAACTCTGGCACGACTTCAATGATCATTTTATTGCTCTTCCATGACCAAAGATACGAAGAAGTTTGTAGTTTGTAGCATCTTGCAACATCTGTCTGTAGAACAAATAGGATACTTAGGCACCAGGGGTCTTTCTCAACCATTGCTAATACCCTCTCAGGTCTAGAGTGATACTACTATTGGATTTTATCCAAGGCTTACCGGTGATTTGGGTGGTTGTTGATCGACCACCCAAATATGCACATTTTTGCGTGCTTCCCTCCTTTGTCACTGTGACTAAACTTGTGGAGCATACAGGGACAAGTTATTTCTCAGTCACTCCCACCGCAAGAAGGATGATGATTTTGAGAAAATGCTTTTTGGGCTTTGTTTGCTTTTTAATAAGTCATTTACCTTACTTAGGCAAACTTATTCATTTAGGCAAGCGTTTCCTTTCTTAGAAAATATTTATCCAAATAAGTGCATTTATCAGTGTTCTTTTATTTCTTCATTAAGTTATTGAAACCATCCAATATAAATCATATTGGATTATCCATGAGCATGAAAATTTGGACAACATCATCCAATAATTAAAAACAACAAAAAACAGTTACAGTTGTAGAAGGGATGAACCATATCATTATTTTTTACCATTTGGTCCTTTTTACTCCAGATGGTTTTACCAAGTCTTGGAGACAATTTCAGTTCCATTTGATGAAAAATAGATTGGGTGATTTTTAACAACAATCAAAAGTTTTGACAAAGGCTTCAAAAAATAAAATAAGTTTTTGAAAAACAAAATAACGATACATTGTTCCCCAATGTGTAAGATTGTGATTTTCCAAACAAAAACAATTCACTAATGATTAATGAACACCCCTATTAAGTTATTTATTTCTAATCAAAATACATCTAATTTGTTTTTCTGGTAAAATACATATTGAGATGGAGTTATTTTTTATTTCTTGATTGTAGTTGGGACCCATGCGATGCACGGGTTTTGCTAAGCAAGAATGAAACAATAGAAACCTATAAGCAAATTGAAAAAATAAAAATAAAAATAAGCCTATCAAGTCCAAGCAGTTTGACAAAAATCTAAGATGATCTATAATAGAAGTTAATGTAGTTTATGAAAATAATAATAAATATAGATTATGGAAATAAGGTTAATATAGTTCACCAATGTGAATAAAAGATAAAGTTAATATAGCCAAACATTGCACTGGTGTTTTTGAAAATTATCAAATTATAATTATTGAAATTATGTAATTACTGTATTATTTGATGATGATAATTGTTTATTATTATTATTATTACTACTGCTATTATTATTATTACTATTATTATTATTATTATTATTATCTAATTATCATTTTCAGTAAAAAAATTATTGAAATTATCATAACTATCAAATTATTGAATTATCATTAATAAGTAAAACTTTTCAAAAATTATTTTGAAAATTACTGTCATTACTATTTAATTTTCAATAATTATTGATAATAATTGTTATTTTTATTTAATTATCATTTTGAATAGCAAAATTACTGAAATTACCATAAATTGTTCAATAACAAAATTACTAAAAAAATTTAAAATTTGAAAACTATCAAATTATTATTGAAACCATTTTAAACAACAGTAATTACTGAAATTTTGAAAATTTGATAATAATATTAACATTATTACTAATATTTCATAATTGTTATTAAATAGTGCCAAAGTATATTTCAATAATAATAACAAAAGTATTGTGTAACAAAATCTATTTTGAACATTACTGTCATTATTATTTAATTATGAGTAATTTTCAATAGTTTTTATAATTATTTATTGTTGTTGTTATTATTTATCAATAATTTTATTTATTATTGATAATAAATAAATGTTGTTATTATTATTGTTATTGTTATTGTTATTGTTATTGTTATTGTTATTATTATTATTGATAATAAATAAATATTGTTGTTATTATTATTATTGTTATTATTTAATAAGTGTAATTATTATTTTATAACTGTTGTTGGTAATAATTTTATTTATCAATAACATTTATTATTGATAATTTCTGTTAATTTTCATAGATAACATTAATTTAAATTTTTGTTAATTAATAATTTTCAATAGTAAATAAATTGTTATTGAATAATAATAACAATTATTAAATAGTAATAATAATAATAATAAGTTATTATTATTATTATTATTATTATTATTATTATTATTATTATTTTCAAAACAACAACCGGATCAAAAAACAATCTGGACTGGAGTTGACCAAATCAAGAAAGCGGTCCAAACCGACGGGATAGAGCGAACACAGCCACGGTTTAATACCAAGTTTGGATTCGGCTTCGGATCTGATCAATTTAAATTCATCTTCTTGACCCGCGTATATGCTACAGTGGTCGCTGGACATGGTGCAGTGACAGTAGCAAAATAGGGGTTCTCTTTCACCGTTTTTTGTCTGTCAAAGGGATCACCCTATGGCACTATTCGCATCAAAACCGACCCACATAGGCCGGAAAGATATACCTGAGAGGGTGCGAACGGTCATGCTCTGCCCCTGTTCTTTCGTCCAAAACTAACAGAATGTTGTATGACGTCCATAACCTGCAAGAGAATGGGATGTACGTGATTGAGCGAAACCCCTGTTTTTACGTCCAAAAGAAGAATGGAATAGTGCATCAATACTGCACGATGGGGTGGAGCCCCTGTTTTTACGATGGAGCAAAGCCCCTAATTTGGCTGCCAAAGGGATCCAATGGCGTCGTCGTCCACTATTTCCATCAAAACAGACCCACATAAGCCAGAAAGACTTACCTGGGATAGTGCAAAACTGATGGCGTTCCGCCCCTGTTTTGTTCTGTAAAACTGAGAGGGAATTGTGAACGGGAAGATAGGTTTTGTTCAGTAAAACTGAGAGAGAACTGTGAGCAGGAAGAGAGAGGTGATGTAGTGACCTGTGGGCGGGAAGAGAGAGATGGAATAGGGAAGTAAGTTTCTATAAGAAGTTGGGATTTTTTGGGTGGTTTCGTATTATATCACGACCTAGAATCGTGAATGATTTTGGTTGTAGGTTGACATATTTAGTTGGGGTTGGAAAGAGAAAATGTTGCTGAGGTGGCAACTTGAGAGGGGTGGAAAAGAAAGAGAGTTGCTGAGGTGGCAACTTGATTGCAAGGGTATAAGGAAGGGGGCTAGGAGCGTTCCCTTGGGGCAAGGAAGGAAGAAGAGACATGCCATTCGTAATTGGGTCAGGTCAAACTAAATCCATCCCAAGCATTCTTTTGTGTTATGTATTTTTTGATGAAGTTGTATTAATTTTCAATAATTTTTTAATAATGTTTATTAAGTTTGTCTATTGTTGGATAAATTTTCATTATTTTTATTAATTTTTAATTAAATTTAAATAAATAAAATTTTTTTAGTTATTGTTTGTAATGCATGAGTTTTGTTTAGCGAAATTAAAATAGGGCCTTAAGACATTTCGACCAGGGAGACTTGGTCAAGGTCCGATGCAAGTATTATTTTTGGGTCATGTGTTAGATAATTTGTATTATTTTAGATGAATTTCAAATTTAAAAGTAGTATTGAAGTTATTAACCTTTCTTTATCTTTTTTAGTGGAATTTAAACTATTTTTAAATTAAATTTAAATAATAACTTTTCAATTTTTAATATTTTATATTATTTTAAGTGAAATGTAGGTAGATAACTCAATTAAGTTAACTATGTTAATTCAATTAAGCTATGTTATTAAAATTAAATAAATTCAATCAATTAAATAAGTTAAGATAATAAAGTCAATTGTGTCCATCAAGTTAAGTTAATTAAGTCAAATTAGTTAATTATGTTAAGCTGAATCATTTATTTAAGCATTAAGTCATTTGAGTTAATTAAGTTGCTTATTTGGTCAATTAATAAATAAATTAAGTGAATTATGTCCATTGGATGTCTTGACACCCAACCTTATAGGGTTGGGTTAGGATCATGTTTCTTTGGATGTAAGGTTGGGATAGGGTTTTGATGCTTCAATACATGTCAAGTTTGGATTTCATTGACCATATACTAGCCAGGTCATAATTCCCCTACATAGAGGGTCTTCTTGTAATTTGGTATGACTTAAATTTTAACCTGTCCCCATAAATTTGAAGTTTATGATTTTTAACCGAAAAGGTCAGAATTTATGATTATTTTTTATGTTTGTTTGGGTTCTTTCATCATAGAAGAAGCAACACCTTGGAATCCATAAAACATTCATTAAAAAAAAAAAAAAACATAAACCAAATTCCAGCTTAAATTAATGGCTATTGGGTTTAAAGATAGCAATGGGGTTTATTGACCCAATATGTACTGATACCACGGGTGTATCAATATGCATGTCATTAAAATCCCTTAATTTACTCTATACTATAACCCCATAACTTTTATGGCATAAAAAGGCAACAAATTCACCACCACACCATGCTTCAATTTGTCATAATCACAAGGGTTCTAAATTTTTACTTTTAGATATTTTCCCTTTTTGGTGCATATCTGTCAAAAATAAGAGAAAAAACAATTCATTACTAAAACTTATATACTCACAAATATTAACAATAATCATATTGGTTTTCTAATAATTTTCCCTGCATATCCAAAGCTTATATCTCTTAAAATTGTCTTTCTAACATACTTTGTATTTCCTATACTTCCAACTTTGCTTAAAGGTATTATGATAATAAATTTTAAAATTGTTTATATAATAATGAATAATATTGATTTACCACAAAGTTGGGAAGAGGGGAAAACTATAATGAATTTATAATTGCAACCATGAACAATTTTATTACAAAGACCGTCTTGAATACAATTCAAGTACTTATATACACAATTTAACAGACTTACATGAAATTAGGACACAGAAATACATGATGTATGGTATCTACTGTAAACAAATTATGTTACACACTGAATTTATGGTGGGAAAAAGGATTGATTGTTTATCTATGATCCAAATGCTTCGGTCTGGCATTGGCATTATCTAGTAAAGCATGTGTTTACCTGGTCTGTAGAAAATGCCAAATCCATGTGTAGAGTGGATAATATCCATGAAAAGAGGAAACTGTAGCAAAGCAAACATGGTGACTGGAACACAAGCCAGTATGGCAATTGGAATGGCAATCCAATCCAATCGACTTCTAAGAACAATAAAAAGGGTTGCACTAAAAGCTATCACCATGGTAGCTATGGATACGAAAAGGGTTGTAAGACCAAGAACCATCCTCCTGGGTAATGTCTCCAGGAAATCCTCTGCTGCATATCTTGAAGTCAAGATAGATAAGAACATTAACACTGACGTGATGGATGAGAATAGGGCTAATGCATCTGATATGGCAAAAACTATAAAGGACCTGACTTCAAGAAAAACAGGAATGCCCTTATCATCATAGTTTCCACCTGGAACGGTAAAGGCTGCAGCAAACACTACAGTGGCAATTAGTGTTGCTACAATCATGCATGATGATGCTGTATCCTTCATCCACTTCTCGCCTTCCTTAACCAAGTTTGCATGCTTCTCTGTAAACAACGTGCGGGGCGTTTTCCCTTCTGAGTTCTTCATCTCCATGTACAATGGTTGCATGACCTTTTCCACTTCCTACCAGAGAATGTTACAGAAAAGGGATAGAATTTAGTATATGATCTAATTACCTTATACACAAAAGCAAAAGACAAACAATTGTGTTTGGATAAACTTTTGGGCTTTGGAAAACAAAATTGAGCCAAAAAGCATTTTGGGCATTTGGGAAGAGTTACTTTCAAAAACATTATGATCTGAAGCCAAAACACCTTTAAGCCCCAAAGTGTAAAGCCTAAAATTGTGGCTTTGTGCTTTTGGGCATTGAAAGCACAAATGCTGAGCTTATCCAAATGCAACATAAACTAAGGGTCATGCATAGCATAATCATCTCAAATATTTATTTGAATCCCGAGCATATCTCTGTAATAAGAAACCAAGTAAAGGGGATTGAAAAACCTTGAACCATTGGTGTTCTCGCTGCATCTGAAGTGCAGCACCTGAAATTGTGTTGAGTCGAGACGAAGGAGCTAAGTTTCCAGCCAGATGTAGCATGTTATTGTTGTTGCCATCTACATAAGAAGTTATCAAATCCTTGAGTGCACCAATATCATGTATGAGGATGAAGATTTTTTCTTGATGATGGGCAACTGCTGTATGAAATATGCTTTGATTATCACTGTTAACTTTCCAAAGTAGATCGGGATAGTCACGAAGAAGCACAGCTATGAATTCAGCAATCCCCAGCTCTGCTGCAACAAAGAGTGGTCGTGAAGGCTCTCTTAGTAATGCTGACATATTTTTGTCATCCAATTTCAGAACTTCATGCCAAAGCACTTTGACTACCTCTATTGCTTGAAAGTGCATCACTTTGGTATCGTACACCTGCTTTATATATGGAACTGGAGAAAGATCAAGCTTCAGATTCAATTCTCCAAGAAAAAGATGAGTTACATCAGAACAAAATAATATTGATCACATTAGAACTTAGAAGTATTGTTTACCTATTGCCTTTAAGCTATTCCAAAGTAGTGCATTGAATTCATGGACAGCTACATTCAGAAAGTTTACACAAATATCAGTAATACAAGGTGGAAAGTAGTAAACATATAGCCAATCTGGCAAAGGGCCACAGAGTTTCATGGCAAATATAGGTGGAGACTGGAGTCTCCTCATGGGTTGCCTCTACTTTATCAGCTTTGATCAGAGAGAGAAAGCTCACCTGCTGTGATCATATGAGCCATGCAGACCTCTTTGTCTTCCTTTGAAAAGGTAAGGTAGGTAATTCCACATGAATACCTTTAGGAGAAAAAAAAAGACAGTAGTGGTCAATTTGCTTCTAAAAAAAGTGATCTGTTCAAAGCGAAATTTATTGATTGTGTTGAGGGAAAAAAGAAAGGAAGTTAAGAGTTTGGATTAGTTGCACTTGATGGCTGTGTTAAGGGCAGTTTAACCACTAATAACGCCCCATGTCAGCCATCAAGAGTATATGCTGCACAACTGCTCACAACCTCTCACTTCGCATGCATGGCTGACGTGGGGTGTTATTATTGGCTAAACACCCTAACAAGCCATCAAGTGCAGCAAATCCGGATTTGAGTTGGTAGAAGATGATTGAAGTTGGATGACAATCACACTATGCTGGCTCTCACTTCGCATGCATCGTTGATGTGAGGTGTTTTATTGGTTAAACACCCTAACACAGCTATCAAGTGTGGCTAATCTGGATTTGAGTTGGCAGGAGATGATAAGTTGGATGACAATCACACTATGCTGGTTCTCACTTCACATGCATGGCTGACGTGGGGTATTATTATTGGCTAAACACCCTAACACAGCCATCAAGTGCAGATAATATGGATTTGAGTTGGTGGGAGATGATAGAAGTTGGATGACAATCACACTATGCTGGTTAAAGAATAATTATAATGTTGTTTTTATGGGGAGCCAATTAGTTTCTCTCTCTCTCTCTCTAAAAATTGGAGGCATTTATAGATTGATCAAGGCCAAACTGTTATCTTCATCATTTCAATCTATAAAATGGGCAGCTCAGTGCATGAGGCTCCCTGCACATACAGGGAGGCTGTTCCCAAGATTTGAACCCTGGTCACCCAGGTCGCAATGGAGCAACCCAACTGTTCGCGCCAAGGTGCACCCTCCATCATTTCAATCTAGGAGAAATAATATTGCCAGAGATGGAAGAATGAATGGGCAAATGAAAGGGAAAAATATATATAACACCTTTTAGAGATTTAAAGATATTCGACAGAAAACAGATCGAATGGTCCTCAATAATTCTAGAAGGTCCCTTAGGGTAAAAATCATTTAGTATATAACAAACCATTTTAGTTTTAAGGTACTTATCCAGCACTAAACAAACCAGATGATCTCCAACAATTCTAGATGACCCCTTAGGGTAAACACTATTGGTATACTTGATCAGATTGTTTTTTAAAGACTAAAAGACATCTGATATAAAACAGACTGCATGGCCTTAACATTTTAAGAAAGCCTCTTCTAGTACAAATCACTCGGTGTACAAGAGACCAGATGGTATATGAAAATCCAGAAGTTGTCATTGCATTAAAATCATCTAGTATGTAATATATCTGATTGTTTTCTTGAGACTTAGACGTATCCAATACAAAAAAGAAGGTTTGGATGAGGAGGTAGAGAGGGAGGAAGAATGGAAATGGAGTGGGAGATAAATAATTCTTCAATTTTCAATTTTTTCAAAACAAGGGAAATTTGGTCCCAAAAATAATATTTTTCTTCCTACTTACTTTTCTTTGTTCTTATTTCAAAAACATCACTAAATTTGCCAATTGAATAGACAAGAGTTCATCATCTAGTTTGAATAAAGCCCTACTTTTATGCAATTTACTAATGATTTATAATCTCAAAGCCATTTTCAGTTCATTCAATTTATTTATTAGCGATAAATAGATGTATAGAAAAAAAAACTAGAAAGATAAATAATAATTGTTCAAAAAGAATATGGGAAGCCAGAAATCTCATGTGGCATGATAAACAAGCAATGGATCCAGCAAAATTAGTAGATCCAATAGTTTTCAAGACGCCAAGGTGAAGCTAGGCAATGGGGGACAGGGAGAGTGCCTTGTCGCCTAATGATGGATGCTTAAGTTTTGCTTAGGCAATGAGTTTTTTAATATATATCCTAGGGTAGTTCCCTGGGTTTCATAGTAATAAATAGTAAGCTTTAACTAATAATTACCATAATCCTTAAGAAATAAGTATAAACTCCATATCAAAAGATAGAAAACCAACATATTTATAAGAAGAAAAATAATAAAGGAAAGAAAACATACAAAACATAATGGTCCTTGAAAGAAAAAGAAGATGAAGAAGAAAAAAGTCCAGTTGACTGTTCTTGTGTGTCAATTGAATAAAATCTTCTAAGTTATTTCTTACTTATCAATTTGGGTTTTAAAGTCCTAAAGGGTTCAAGATTGTCTTTGACTTGTGCATCGATTGGACCCAAACAAATACAAAAATAAAAATAATATTAGTACAAGAATAATAATATTAATTCTATAAACCTACAATATCAATAATTTAGTCTAATAGTGTCTATTATACTACTATTAATAACATAAAATGAAAATATAATGTGCTATCTTACATATAAGTTTGTAGGCGTTTGGACGAGGCAACCGTCCAAGAACACCTTATCACCTAGGTGTCACCTTGATGACTATGAATAGATCACGTGAATTTCCTTACAAGTAAGGACACACAACAGTCAACTTAAGGTTTGTGGTGGTGAGGACTGGACAACTCCTAATCAATAACTCTGCCTAATTGCCTGATTTATATGCAAGTAACTATAGATGCGCTCTATGAGATATCCAAATTCAGTTATTGCTAGGACAGGTTTTGTGATATACTAATTCTGACTCACAAAATGGAATTACTTGCAGCAGCAGAATAAAGGTTGTATGGCCTTTGGAAGTAGTGAAACCAAGCTTCAGACAATGATATCAGGTGTACAATAAACAACAAACAAGAAGGCATGTGGAAAATTTGTATCTCATGGACTGAACAAGGTGGAATGGTGGAACAGGATTCATGTAATTGATCCAATATCACTGGGACAAGTCTTAGATGGTGTGTCGGCAAGATATGATTTGCGGCAAATTAAGAAAGATATGATTTGCTGCAAATTTAGAAAGATTTGATTTGATTGATTACAGATTTGA